TGGCACCGCCTGCGGGACGAGGGGCTGCGGGGCCGCGTGCTGCAGCGGCTGCGCGACGCCGACGTGGTGCCCGTCTACAGCTAGAGCCCAGGTAGGCTGCCGCGGCACCGGGGGGACGCTGTCGCACCGCGGAGGCGGGAGCCGGGCTGCTCCGGGCTCGCCGCGGGCCCGTGGCTATCTGCCCGTTGCATCGCAGGGCAGCCGCGGGGAATGGCCGGGGCTCGGAGCAGTGTCCCCTCCGGCCCCCGGCCGCCCCTCGCGCTCGCAGGGACAGGGACACAGCCCCCCGGGGCTCCCGGCAGCCGCTCCGAGCCGGGCACGGCGCCTGCGGTCGGCGAGCGGAGCCGGAGGCTGCGGATGGAGGTTCCCTGCAGCCTCTGCCCAGGGAGGGCCTGGGGCGCTGCGTCCCGGCCAGCGGGACGGAGGGGAAGCTGGAGCTGGAATAAAAAGCGCCTCGGCTTCCTGGCACCCCGTGTGGCTCCTTGCGGGGCGGGAGGGCCGGGATGGGTGCAGGGGGACCCATGGATCCCCCCGGCCCGCAGCCATCGGGAAAGGCTGATGGAGCACGAGGACCCCGAGCTGCCTGAGGGGGAAGAACGCACCCCCGAACGGCCCCGAGGCCCCAGGGCTGCAAGAAGGACCAGCAGAAGGAGAAGCCGCCCAAAGGTCCCAAGTGGTCCATAAAAAACAAGGAAAAAACACCCAAAAAAGCGACGGGCAAGGAGCCGGAGGCACCGGGTGCCCTCCCCGAGGAGGGTCCCGAAGGGCCCCTGCTCCAGCTCTCCCTCCCCAAAGACCCTGCATGGTCCTCCCCGGCTGCCACCTTGGTCCTGCGAGGAGGAGGAGGACGGGGAGGAAGGAGTCGCTGTGTGGCAAGGTGAGCCCAAGCGCTCCAAGGGCAGGAGAGGCTTTTGAGAGGGAAAATCCCAAACCGGGAGAAAAGAACCGGCCCCCAAGGATCCTCTCCTCCTTCCCGCAGGCCGTCCCTGAAGCCAGCGTGGTTTTTGCCTTCGTTTTGCTCTCGGGGCTGAGAACCGTCGCTCCTGGGTGGTTCCTGCTGCTGCTTCTCACCATTTTTCCCCACGTTTCTCCACGCCGCTCACCTGCTGTCCCTGCCCCGCGCGTTTCATCGCGCCAATAAACGCAGCTCTCGGCACACGGGGCATCTCTCTCGTGCCACCCAGCGCCAGCGTCACCGGGACGGACAGGGACCACGCGTGTGTGGGTGCCAGGCCCCTCCGCGGGGCCGGGGGGGTTTATTGAGTGCGGGGGGTTCCCGGAGCCCTCGCGCTGCCCGTCAGGGGCCGAGCTCCATGTCGCCGTCGTCGGCGCCGAAGCCGGCGCAGCTGATGGGCTGGCAGCCGAGGTCGCGCAGGTTGACGAGGCAGGCGGTCTGCGTGGCGCTGAAGGCGGGCACGGCCACCAGCAGCACCCGCTGCCCGCCGTCCCCTGCGGGGACACGCCGCTGAGCGCGAGCGGGGCCCGCGCCGCGCCGCCCGCGCCGCCACTCACCGTGGATCACCTTGGACTGGAAGCGCGGCGCGTTGCCGCAGAAGTAGACGTGCGGGCACTCGCTGAGGATGAACGGGTCCGACTTGTAGAAGGGGTAGCAGCCTGGGGGCAAGGCACGTGAGACGGGGAGCCCCCCCTGCGGCCCCTGCGGCCCCCAGCCCCGCGGCGGCCTTACCCAGCGTGTCGGGGGCCGTGGGGCTGATGTGTCCCACCCGCAGGGTGCACTCCATGATCTCCAGGTAGTCGTCCATGCTGCTGTACTTGAAGATGTCACTGATGTTCTGCCCCGACGTGCCCAGAAACCTGCAAGGAAGGCGGCGGGCGGACGTGCGTGGTGCCAGTCGGCCCCGTGATGCCCACGCTGGGCTCCGAGCTGGGCTCTTTTCGTACCTGACGCCGTCCATGTCGGCCTGGTAGGGGTTGGTGACCAGCTGGAGCGTGGAGTAGGCGCTGGAGAGGGGCAGCATGCAGCGGTGCAGCGGCTGCTGCGGCAGCATGTAGTTGGTGGGGTCGAACTCGCCGGGCATCACGTCCACAGGCACCGAGGTCTGGGGGCACAGAGGGCATCAACACAGGCAGCCGAACCCGCCGCGCTGCGCCAGGAAGGGGCTTCTCGTGCCCCGTTTGCTGCCGGGCCTGCTTTGACGCCCAATTCCCCTCCTCGCCCCCGAGGTGCCCAGCCAGCCCCGACCCGCTCCGCGCTCACACAGAGCTGCAGCAAGATCTCGTCCAGCATCTTGACGGCCTCCACGCTGGCAGCCTGCGTCTTCTTGGTCAAGTACTTGGCCTGCGTGGCCAGGACGAGGGTTCAGAGGGCGGGCGCGGGCGCGGGCGCGAGCACGGGCGGGCGGCCGCGGTACCTTGTTGATGGTGTCGCGGTTCTGCGTGTTGTGGCTGAGCAGGTTGCCGGCCAGGACGACGCGGGCGATGCGGGCGGCGCAGCCCTGCGCGCCCTCGGCGCCCAGCTGCCCCGTCACCAGGTCCACGAGGAGCTGCGTGCCCAGCAGCGCCTCGCCGCCGCCGCCGCCCAGCCCCAGCCCCGACACGAGCAGCACGAACCTGCGGCGGGACGCGCGGGCAGCGGCCGGGGCGCCGGGCAAAGCCGGAGCCTCCGGCGGCGCCGCGGGGACACTCACTTGTCCGAGCTGGGGCCGGCCCAGGGCAGCGGCGGCGGCAGGTCGGCGAAGCAGCACTCGTCCACCAGGAACGTGCCGTCGCCCTGCTCGGAGCCGTACACGGCGATGACGGTGCCTGCGGCAGCGAGCGGCGCCGTGAGCACCCGCGGGGTGGCTGCGCCCTCGTCCCGACCCGTCACCGCCCTCGACCCCTGCCCGTCACCATCATCTACCCATCACCATCCTCATCCTCTACCCATCACTGCCCTCGACCC